AGTTCTGGCAATGCAGAATCTGAACACGAGCGGTCTCCGGGGTCCTCGGCTCCGATTTCTTTCGGCTCGCCGGTTTGATCTATTACCGTATAGATTTTGAGCGTGGTAGAAGTCGGATCCGCCGTAAACAACAACAGGACGAGACGCGGATACATATAATCCGGAATCGGATCCGCGCGGGCGGAAATCGGATCTTCGCGAGACAGGAACCAGAGGCAGACGTAGACCCGCTTGAACTTCATTGGATCCGACGGCGATTATCTCATACGTGTCTGTTCAATACGTAAGAATCGTCTTTCTGGGTCTTAAGGAGGAAAACGCATTGTCCTGGAGATGAACTCGGTGGCCTTCGGACTTCATCGTTTCCACATAGCCGGCACACCACATCTCACCATAATTACCCTGCCACATGCAATCATGAGTTCCCGTTCGCGACGCTTTCGCAACACATGAAAACAGAACACAGAAATCGTGCCTTTGACTGGAAGTTCCGTTCGAGACGTCCTCGCCGAAGTCTGCGCCTTGGATTCGGAATCGCGGTGGGCCACACCGGAGCCCGACAACCAAGGCAAGACCCCCCCCTCCTCTTCTAGCGTCGCGTTGGGCTCCAGATTTTGCTGAGGCATGCCAGCGCCCAGAGGAGACGCAGGGCCGAAAACTTCTTTCGTCTTGAACTGAAAATGGCGATGGTGAGTTCGCGGGATAACACCAGCGCTGCCGACGGACGGCGTCTAGACGAGCTGCGTGAAGCAACGGGGAGGAGAGACGCAGTCATGTTGACTGGGGCCCGCGCGCGCGGAAAGTTAATCGTAGTGCGCGAGACAGCGCTTGTCCCATCTTGGAAAATTTATGACCGAACCCCCGTCCCCCGCAGAATCTGAACACGGGCGGTCTCCGGGGTCCGCGGGTCCGATTTCTTTCGGTTCGCCGTTTTGATTTCATACCGTACAAATTTTGAACGGGATAGAAGTCGGATCCGCCGTAAATATTTGGGCCAGACGCTGATCCAGAAAATCCGAAATCGTATCCGCGCGGACGGAAATCGGATCCACCGAGACAGTCACGAAAACCGGTATCGGATCCGCGCCATATTGTTTGGATCCGACGGTGGTTATCTCACAGGTGACTGTTCAAGACGTAAAACCGGCGTTCCCGGCCCAATAGGAAGCTTTTCCGTATTTGGGATGATCGGTTTGGCCTTCGGACTTGTTGCTTACCGCGTAGCCGACACACCACATCTCACAAGAATTCCCCTGCTCCATGCAGTCTGGATTTCCCTTGTCGAGCCATCTTCGCAACAACCGGAAACAAGGCAACAGAAACCGTGCTTTTGAATGAAGGTCCCGTTCGAGACGTCCAGGCAAAAGTCGGTGCCTGGGATTTGGGATCGCTGTGGGCCACGCAAGTGGCCGAAAACCAGGGGAACCCCCCTTCCTCTTCTGGGCTCCAGATCGTGCTGGGGCATGCCGGCGTCCAGAGGAGACGCAGGGCCGAACGAAAAAAACATGCTCATTCAGGTGAAAATGGCGATGATGAGTTCGCGAGATAACACAAGTGCCGCCGGGGAGGAGAGACATAGTCATGTTGAGTGGGGCCCGCACGCAGGGAAAGTTAATGGGAGTGCGCGAGACAGCGCTGGTCCCATCTTGGGAAATGGATGACCGTCTCTTTGGGTCCGCAGATCGGATTTCTTTCGGCCCGCCGCTTTAATTTACTATCGATGAAATTTAAAGCGGGGTAGACGTCGGACCACTTGTACAATGTGTTTTGGACGCGGACCTAGAAAATCTGGAATCCGATCTGAGCGGACGGAAATTGGATCCACCGAAGCAGAATCCACAGCCAACATTGGATCCGCGCGATTTTCATTGGATCCGGTGGCGGTTATCTCACACGTGTCTGCTCAAGGCGTAAAACCGTCGTTCCGGGCCCAACAGGCAAAATGTTCGTCTTGGGGATGCACGTTTTGGCCTTCGGACTTGTTGCTTACCGCATAGCCGACACACCACATCTCACAACAATTCCCCTGCCACGTGCAGTCAGGAATTCCCGTCCGCGACGTCTTCGCAACAAAAGCAACAGAAAACAAACAGGGTGTCTTTGACTGGAGGTCCCGTTGGAGACGTCCTTGCCGAAGTGTGCGCCTTGGATTCGGAATCGCGGTGGGCCACGCCGGAACCCGACAATCAAAAGAAGGACTCCCTCCTTTTCTAGCGTTGCACTGGGCTCCAGATTGTGCTGAGGCATGCCAGCGCCTACAGGAAACGCAGTATCGAAACACAAGTTCTTCTTGAGGTGAAAGTGCCGGTGATGACGTTGCGAGATAACACCAGCGCCGCCGAACGGACGGCGTCTGGACGAGCTGCGTGCAGTAACTGGGAGGAGAACGACGCATTCATGTTGAGCGGGGCCCGCGCGCGCGGAAAGTTGATGGGAGTCCGCGGGACTGCGTAGGGCCCATCCTGGAAACTTGATGAGCGAACCCCCTTCCCCGCAGAACCTGAACACGGGCGGATACCGGGGCACACGGCTCCGATTCGTTCCAGCTCGCCGTTTTTAACATTATGCATAATGAATTTGAAGACGGGGTAGGAGTCGGATCCGCCGTAAAAATGGGACCGGACGCGGAACCAGAAAATCCCAAATTCGATCCGCGCGGGCGGAAATTGGATCCACCGAAACAGACATTAAAACCAACATCAGACCGTCGGTGTCCGCTACGGTGGCCGGGTGCGTCCTGTCGGTGATCGATGTCCCGTCGATGTCCCGTCGGTGTCCCGTGGGTGTTTTGTTGGTGTCCCGTTGGTGTCCCGCCGTGGGGGTCCTGTCGGTATCCCGTTGTTGTCCTGTCGGTGTCACGTCTGTGTCCCGATTGGCGCCCTTTTCGTGTCCTGGCTGTTTTCTGGTGGTGCCCTCGATGGTGTGTTTCCGATGGTGTGTCCATGGTCTCATTGTGGCCCGATCGTGTCCAGATGGTTTCTAGTGAGATCATGTGTGAGACTGGTGGGATGGGCTAGAAAATAATTGGAGACCGCGACCACCCATCTCAGTGTTGCCAACGGTCATGATTAGCAGATGCACCACCACCGTCGACGCAGCTGTTTGGCTCGGCATCCCCACCGCACGGGCCTTGCCACCTTGGCTTCCCCCGTCTCATGGCGACGTACCCAGTTGATGCCGATATGCGCCGCGTCATTCATCGAGGTTTCAATTCTTCACGCTTCGCGTATCCCCACCAGCCCATCTCCTAACAGCAACTCTTGCGCAGCATGCCGACAGTCGTGTTTGTCAGGCGTGTTCCGCCTGCCCCCGCATATCTCCCCTGTTCCTCCTTCCTCCCGCCTTCTTGTACATCATCCTTGTGGTGGGAGCGGGAGAAGGACGAGGCGGAGGAGGAGGGAGAGAAAGCGCTCCTCGTGGTTTGAGTCGTTTGGGGTTTCTCGTCCTGGTGTGAGTCGTTCGGGCCCTTCTTCCTGGTGTGAGTCGTTCGGGCTCTTCGTGGTGTGAGTCGTTCGGGCTCTTCGTCCTGGTGTGAGTCGTTCGGGCTTCTCGTGGTGTGAGTTGTTCGGGCCCCTCGTCCTGGTGTGAGTCGTTCGGGCCCCTCCTCCTGGTGTGACTCGTTCGGGCTCCTCGTGGTGTGAGTCGTTCGGGGCCCTCGTCGTGGTGTGAGTCGTTCGGGCTCCTCGTGGTGTGAGTCGTTCGGGCGCCTCGTCCTTGTGTGAGTCGTTCGGGCCCCTCCTTCTGGTGTGAGTCGTTCGGGCTCTTCGTGGCGTGAGTCGTTCGGGCCCCTCGTCCTGGTGTGAGTCGTTCGGGCTCCTCGTGGCGTGAGGCGTTCGGGCACCTCGTCCCCTTTTGGGGCGTCTTGGGGGCCTCTTGGCGGCCCCAGTGGGCCTCTTGGGGGCCTCTTGGAGCCTCTTGGGGCCTCTTGGGGGCCTCTTGGGGGCCTCTTGGGGGCCTCTTGGGGGCCTCGTGGGGCCTCTGGGGGCCTCTTGGGGGCCTCTTGGGGACCTCTTGGGGGCCTCTTGGGGCCTCTTGGGGGCCTCTTGGGGGCCTCTTGGAGGCCTCTTGGGAGGCTCCTGGGGGCCTCTTGGGGCCATCTTGGGGCCTCTTGCGCCTCCTCTGAAGCGCAAAGGAGCGCTGCCCCCTGAGAAGGACAAAATGAGCCCAAAACCTTCGTAAAATCAATAATTTTGCTATGAAGGAAGAGGAGCGCGGCCCCCTGAGAAGGCCAAAATGGGGCCAAAACCGTAGTAAAATCAATGGTTTTTGCTTCGGGGGGTGAATTAGCGTCCCCCCCCCCAGGAGGCCAAAATGGGGCCAAAACCCTAGTAAAATCAATGATTTTGGCTTCCTCGCCGAGGCCGTTTTGGACGCTCTAACTACCCGCGGCCCCCCCCGTCCAGGTCCAGGGGAGGGGGTAGGGGGTGGGGTAAACCCCTCCCCAAGGGGGAAGAGGGAGGGGTGGAAGAGGATCTGCTCTAGACCACCTACGCCCAGAGGGCTGGTGGGATTCTCCTGCTGCTCATCGTGATCGTGTTCCTTGTCCTCCTCCCCCTCCTTCTCACCCCTTCTGGTCTTCTTCCTAGTGCTCCTTCTCATCCTCCCCCCGGTTCTCTGTTCATGCCTCTTCCCCTCCACTTCTCGCTCTTGTCCGCGCAGTTGTGCCCATCTACTTTCCCTCTTGTTTCTCTTTCCCCGCTTGGCTTTGTCCTCCCCTCCTCCTTGGCCACTTCCTCTTCCTTCCTCTCCTCGCCCTTCAGGCCAACATTCCCCCTGGAGCTCGCGTTCGCCACCTTCGCTCCCTTCCCATGCCCCAGCCATCACCCGCTCCGCCTCGTCACTGACTCCATCGCTCACGCCTCCCAGTCTCCCTCCACTTGAAAATCGGAGGAAGGAGGAGGTGGAGGAGGTGGGGAAGGTGAATGGGGAAGCAGAGAAGGGAGGAGAGTGGAGGGAGGGGGCGTCAGGATGACTGCTGCACATAGTGGGCTGCCGATGAGGCCCATGGCGCGCTCGTCGCACTCGGAGACGTTCCGGGCGCTCGCGTCCCAGCAGACCGTCGGCGCCAAGCGCGAGTCGTGCAAGCCGAGCCAAGCGACCATCGGGAAGCCTGGCCGGGGGGGACATCAGGCAGCGCCAAGAGGTGCCACCACGGAGAACGGTCGGGGTCTTTTGCTTTTAGCGTGTCGCGGCGGCAGCCCCGGCCATACGTCATGCCCTGCAAGTGGATGGCGTGTCGCCCCGCTCCGCGGGGCGGGAAGCTGAGAAAAGCTCGTGACGTTGAGGCTTGGTCAGTGAGGCGTGGATATCATGTCGCGTCGACGCGTGGTGGGCCAGAGCCGGCGGAGCGACACGCTAAGCAACAGTTACCGGCCGTATTGGGTCGCCATCTCCAGAGTTTCGAGGGTCGAGGAGGTGGTCGGACGTTTTAGGGGGCGTTTGGGGGTTTATGTGCGTGCGTGTGTGTGTGTGTGTGTGTTTGTGTGTGTGTTGGACGGTTTGCATGTGCTGCGGAGTTATGTGTATATATATATACATATATATTAGTATATGTATATATGTATATCTCTATATATATGCATATGTGTATTGCATTTCGCTCGCCAGAGTGAAATTCTCTATTCTTCATATCGTCTCGCAGTTCGCACTCCACTCAGG